GAAATTATTAGGATTATCTGAAAATCTATTTTCATATCTAATTATAAAATTTTAAACTCCAAAGATGGTTAAAATTAAGTTGATTTATTAGCATATGAAAATCTTGAAAATGGACGGTCTAGATAATGTGTTGCAAGATGCACTATTTCTGGGACTCAAAATCTTTTTTTTGGTCATATTCATACATGTCTATGTCGAGATGATCAACTAAAGTTTTCGGCATTAAAACAACCTTCTCCGATGGAGTTTTGAGGTGCATCCATATTTCTACATTTTAAGGTTTCAACCTTATATAAACCTTTTCCTTTAAAAAAAGGATTACCTCGAGAGAAATAGACTGCTTTTTTTCCTCCTGAAAATCTTGTTTAGATATGGGAGGTCACAGTTATTACAAGTTGATGAAAATAGTATCAATAGTTCGGAATTTACAATATTTGCATTATCTACAGCATTTTCCATTTTCCTATGTATACAACGTGGTATTAAATGTGTGGGTGAAATTCTGAAAACCAAAGTAAAAACTCCTTTTCCCAGTTAAAAACTCCTTTTCCCAGTTTACTTGAGTTCATAAAAATTATAATGAACTCCTTATGAGGGGAGCTAACAAACTGATACTTTGATTCACAAATCACCTTAATTTCACCCTGATGAATGTACATGGAACCTACCAACAAAAAATAAAAAATTAGAAAAAAGATGATAAGAGAGATGATACCCCTGCCCAAATAAAGATGATGCTTGAACAACAAATTTTTTGTGCTCTACAGTGTACTTTTGATATTTTAAATTTCTAATTTCTAGCTTCCTTCATACAGTGCCCCGTCTGTTTACTTCGAGCATTGCTGCTTTCTATGAAGGATATTATGAAAACAAGGGAGTCACGATCATCAAGGGGACAGTGGCTGTTGGATTTGATTCCGATAGCAATGGGAATGTATGCTTTTCGAATTATAGTTAATGTTTAAGAAGGTAAATATGGCAAGTGATGTTCCTTTTTTATGGTTGTTTTGTTGATGTTGTTCAGGTAAAGGTCGTGAAATTGAAGGATGGGAGAGCACTCGAGGCTGACATTGTTATTGTTGGTGTTGGGGCTAGACCATTGACAAACCTTTTTAAGGGTCAGGTTGAGGAGGAGAAGGGAGGCATTAAGGTTTGAAGAGTCTCCTACTAACTTATATCTTACTCCGTAGAGGAAATTGGTTTAGCGTCTTCTATATCAGTTCTTCATAAAAGATGATCCATTTTTATGTTGATCTCTGCTTTAACTACTTAAAATCTGGGAAAATATCAGGATAGTACCTGGGACACCTGCATAGATCATACTAGTGTTCCTTCAAATGTCATGATATTACCTCTGCCTCTCTGGTATTTCAAACACCGAACCTAGGGTAAGACGGTCATCTAGAAAAATATTGAGAGGTCCAGATACTCTACGCTGATATTGCCAATTGTTGTGCGATCTGCATGATTAAATGTGGTCGTTACAGGTACAGTCCTCATATATTCCTTTAGATTTATTTGGTCTATGGTTTTTCAATCAGAATATAGCCTGTGCACTATAAGATGTATACTTATCTCCCATATCAATGAGAAATAAAGCATGGAATTCACAGCGATTTAATTGAAATGAATTTTGTCCTATTTAGATCTAATGTTAAAAACTCCATTGCATAACCTAAATTTTATATCAAAAGCAGTTTTTATTGCATCACCAGTTTCTTATTATTTAACGTCTTTAAATTGAATATCTTTGGTCATTGCTTACTCTTCTGATTTTCACATGTTTCATCTATCTTTTAGTGACAGGTGTTAGAATCATAAAGGCATAACAGTATATTGATCTTTACTTCTTGAGCTATTGTGACTGGGCTCAAGACTAAATACCAGTTTTCTGGCTCATGAATATTTAAGAACAGTCCCATATTTTCATATGTGATATTGAACAGTATAGTGCGGTTCTTAATTTTGGAGTTTTGGTCGGGAGGACTTCTTTTTACCTTCGTGACTTAGTTGCTCTCTTCAATTTCAGGTCAATGGATTCTTTCAAACCAGTTTTGATGGGGTCTACGCTGTAGGAGATGTGGTAACCTTTCCAATGAAGTTATACAACGAAACAAGGAGAGTTGAGCATGTCGACCATGCAAGGAAATCAGCTGAACAGGCCATGAAGGTATGACCTTTTACTCTCTCTGGTTGTCTGGTCATAGACTCTCTCTCTCTCGCTATATATATATATATATATATATATATATATAT